TGAATTGGTTTAAACTTTAAAGAAAAGACTTTGATACATTAAGCGACTGTTTAAAAATTATTATTTCAAAACTCTCTTTTTTTTTTACATACTCATTTCAACAACACATTCACGCAATAAAATATTCTGTACGTAAATCCAAATTTTTTTTCATACTTTTTAATCACACATTCTTCAAAAAATTACTATTCAAGATTTCATTTAATGCAAATAATACTTGTTAAATAGGGACTAATAATAATAATAATGCAGTATCGACTTGGATTCAGTGGGCCTAAGGAAGAAGGCTATATTATGTTGCAACACTACAGAACTAAGATTGAGCAAAATCGGATGGATCCAATTTAAATACGGTTTGCTGGGTCTTTTCTTATTTATATTTATTGGCCCATTTATAATTTCTGCAACCAACATTTTTTTTTTTCTGTTTAATATCAAATTAAAGCAATATAACATCTTTGGTCCTCTATATTTATCATTTTGTCCATACGAATTTATACAACAATGCTTATCAATTTAGGAAAAAAAAAAACCTGCAAAAGAATTACGAATATCTGGATTAGATCCATTTATTCAAAGTTTCCAAGGAAAATAAAACGAAGCATTGAAATCGACAAAATTGCTTAATCGACATGATTTGGAGGATTCACCCTACACTGTGGCACGACATGGTCCCATAATTTGGTAACATCATCTTTTCATCAAAAGGTTATTAGTAGTCGACTCACATGGACTGTTATTATATGGTACTAGGTATGGATTTGTGTTCCATTCAAGATCCATTAAGTAATTTGCAGCTATGTGTCTAAACTTTGATAGCAACATGTTCTTACAATTAGGTCAAATTTTAAAAATACATTCTTATTTATTCCAAACAACGTGAATTGTAAATTAATTAGTATTTGTTTGTTGATAATTAGATTAAATTTTAGCATAGGAGGTGGGAATGGTAACTCTATTGTATGCAGGGGCGGACCTACTTGAGGACCAAGCCCTCACTCAATTTTCAAATTTCCTGATTTTTCTTCACATTTTTAGATTTTTTTCAAGTTTTTTGTCCAGTTTTTTTTTTATATTTTTTTTCCATGGTTTTTGGTTTCACCCCAACTGAACTTCCTTCATGGATCTGTCCCTGATTGTATGTTGTTTGAATCCATGTATTGGAAAAGACTTTCAAGCAAAATCTAGACAAATTGCAATATTTACAAGTGCGTTTATTAGAAATTAATTAAGCCGTTATTATTATTATTATTATTTTTTATAAAGTGTATATGATAATTGGCCAGCACAATTCATAACATTTTTAATTATAATTGGATTCTCAATACCTCAAAGTGACCACGTGTATATGTGCTGTATGCTTGTAGACTTTCATATGAAGGGTAGGTTTAAAAAATGGTACAAAAAAAGTACAAAAGTTGTACCCCCAACATTCTCATCTAGGTAGAACTGTATTCCATGCATGATGCTATAGAATGGTCGAATGATTACTCATATGAATTTCGTTTAATATTATTAAAATTAAATTTTGTATTTATGAAATATTTGATTTTAGAGTTTTTTATTTTCACGATGAGATATGGAAATGAGAATTAAGAGCACGACACAACGTAAAAAATTGTAAAAGATGTTCATCTAATTTAATTCATGGACCATTAAAACTCATATTAATTTGGAATATCGAATATATACTAGAATTAACTTGAAAATACATGAATACGTCACGTATTTCTCTTCTTAATTTTATTAAATACCATCAACAAAAATATGGAGAGAAAAAGAGAGAAAAAATATTGAGAATGACTAAGAGAGAGGATTCTAGTGAGTCCAAAAGGGCTGTCATGAAAATCGATTCATTTAGATTTTAGACAAAGTAAGTTGGAGAGCAATCTCTGTCTGAACATTGTTTGTCGTGCAACTTGATGTGTGTGTGTGTTTTGGGATTTTACATTTTGGTCCCTCCCAATCCCAATTCTCCATCACCAGAACTTCCATTTAACGTGCACGTTGAGTTTCTTTCATGCTCACAAATTGGGAATCTCTTGTTCAGTAGTGGGGGGTGATGGTGACTCATTGCGTTAGTGCGGGATGGGGTCCGACCCCACTTCCATGTTTGATTTGACCATTAGTACTCCACCCACCTCCACTTCTCAATCCAACCCCTCTACTGCAAATGTATTAGGGTTTGGCACAGTCCAATTAAATCCGATTTTCACGAGAATGGAGTCTAGAACTCTTCGATTTTGGTCCAGTTCAATTCTAACGTGTGACAGTTCAATTTCATTAAAAAAAAAAATAAAAAAAAATTTAGTATATATGCTAATTGCTTGGAAACTAAGGTACGAAATAATTAATTATAAATACAAGGAAATGAAAGGAAAAAAAGTTCAGATAAGGACATAGGGTTGTTGGAGGGAACATGTTTTGCATTAATTGGTACCCTCCATTTCACTCCTTTTTGCTTTTCTTGATTATCCAAACATAATAGTTATAAAAAATAAAATAAAATTAGTTGTCCTTTTCCCCATATATATGTTTATGTTATTTAGCATTGTAATAGATTTCGATAGGTTGTCATTCAATGTAAAAATGTGTTGACATTATTATTTGAATCTTTATATGCAAATTATTAAGGATGACACATTAAATTATATAAGCCTAACCATGATTTCAAATCTTGAATCAAACCTATAATATCCGGCAATTGCGGTATTAGAAAACACTATGATTATTATAGTAACAATATTTCAATCATATAATTATTAACTACAATAAATTCAAGTGTAGTGAAGAAAAAGTTGTAATGTCCAATACAAAATTTGTTCTTTCCTTCTTTAATTCAACTTTTAAATAATTTGGAGTTCGAGTCTTTATTCAACCTTTTCTTGATAGCTCCACCAGTAAAGATTTTGGGTCGACATCTATTTATGAAATAGTGTACGTGTTAGAGAAAATGTTTAAAGCATCTGATATTTAAAGTTTTAAACGAGATCGTCCAACGAAAAAATAGACGACGACGACGACTTAAAATTCGAATTTCATTTTTATTTGTACCTTTGCTAATTATCTATAACTGTTAAGGGATATAATCCCACATCGAATAAAGATGTTGACACAGACCAATTAATAAAGATTTTGGGCTACTCCTCTTAATAAGGTTGACCTTTTAAGATGGACCCCCAAATCTTAATATGGTATCAGAGTCTATTATGTTCCAACGAGCGATTCGATCCCGGTAAGATTCTAAAAAGTGAGCACGTGAATTTCAAGATTGGTCTGCTCAAATGAGCCACCATCTTGCGGGGGTGTGTTAAGGGATATAATCCCACATCGAATAAAGATGTTGACACAGATCAATTAATAAAGATTTTGGGCTACTCCTCTTAATAAGGTTGACCTTTTAAGATGGACCCCCAAATCTTAATAATAACTGTAAGATTAGGTTAACATAGCCAGAGAATCGCTTGGGGGACTACAAAATCCCCCAACAAATGCCTTTTCTTCTTTATGAGCTGCCACCACATGGGTATGGAGTTTCCGTGGTTCTTGTTTAAACCCTAGTCTCTCTCTCTGCAATGTACTCAGTGTGTATCACTGACACCATTAACAGTATACATTATTTTTTTGCTCTCAGAAAAACAAGCTGAGGAAATAGCCCTCGAGAATAAAGCGTGTTGAGTGTAACCATGTTTTGGCACCCACCTGCTCCCTCTCTTGTCCCTTTCTCTTTGGAGTTTTCTCTGTGCGTTTTTAGCAATTGTATAATGTTATTTTAGTCGACAGTTTTCTGCAAAAAATCCCCTATACTTCACACTGCATCACGCGGATTGGAAATTCTTTACATCACATCGTGTTTGATGTAAAGATGTGAAAGTACTCCCACTGGATAAATCTTGGCGTAGACTGGGAAAAAGAACATTAATAATAATAATAAATTTATACTATTACACCATTTGAGTACAGTCCATGATAGAATTTTATATGTATGGTGTAGGTTGCACCTTATGTTAATTGAATTATATATTCCATATAGTTGCAATTAGTAGTAGAATAAAAGAAATTGGAAGTGGGATTTTCTGTTACAGCCTCGGGTACCGAGCTATATGGAATTCCACCTGTCTATATCCATCCGTATCGATTTAACATGTAATCTATGTTTTACGTAGTTAGTGGATGTTGGGTTCAATGTGAACTCTTAACTTTCTTGAACTTATCGAGATTTATTAGGAATTATTCTGGTTGAACTACATGTAGGCCCTGTTCAAATAGGGGGCGCCCCGTCTATAGCGGACGCCACGTCGCCCCCAATTTGAACATGCAAAATTATTCTTGTTCTCGTAACATTACTCTCGTTTGCAGTATGCTTTTTTTTTTTAATCTTTATGTCCTCTTGTTGGACCAAGAACGTGATCGCTCCGCTCTATTATTTACTCCATGTTTGATTCAATTAAAAATGTTGATAAAAATATAAATTAAAATCAATAATTAATTTTAATTACATCTTAACTTTTTAATTATATATTACATCAACTTATCAAATTTACTAAATATTTATTTATTAGCTAAATCAAATGGGAGCTTAGTTTAGACTGGTGTCCAAAGCTAAATTTATTAAAGAATTATATTTTTCTTTTAACCTTGTAAGTTTTAGACAAAAAGAAAGCTTAAATCGTACTTACATTTGTCACGCCTTTGATTAAAAATCAGATATAAATAGAAAAAAAATATACATATATTTTCCAATTATTTAAATTTTTAGAAGATATTTGGTAAATTAAAATGAAATACAACAAAAATTCAAAACAAGACTATCAATTCAAATTCATTTTAGGCCAGACCCTTCACGTGAAATTACAATTAAACAATGACTTAATTCCATATCTAATCATTCTGTCTCTCTCTAAAATATTTCAACCCCATAAACAAGACTACCCACGTCGTCACCTGTTAATTGGCTTCTTACTCTTTGTTTCAAACGATTCCTTTTGAGGAGTGAAGAAATGCTAGGAAACTGTGAGAAGATGAAGGTCATCTCTTCAAATACTAAAGAATGGCCACAGGTTCATTTCTCTCTCTAAATTATTAAACAAAATATGACACAATTTTTGTTTCTTAGCATTTGTCAAAGAATATCCTTCTTGTGTAGTTGTTTTTGACCTAGAAAAACTATATTCAACTCTCTTCTTTCCTTTTCTCTCTTTATTTTTTCTCCTAGGTGCAGAATCAGATAGATGAGCAGAAAAAATTGATGGCTTCAACAGGTAGGGTAATGGAGAAACCAAATCAAGATCAGCAGCAGCAGCAGCAGCAGCAGCAGCAGCCACTAAACTGTCCTCGTTGTGATTCGACGAATACTAAATTTTGTTACTACAATAACTACAGTTTGTCTCAGCCAAGACACTTCTGTAAAGCTTGCAAGCGTTATTGGACTCGTGGTGGAACCCTAAGGAATGTTCCCGTTGGGGGTGGTTGTCGGAAGAACAAGAGGGTAAAGCGGCCAGCCTCCGCCGGTGATGTAACTTCCTCTTCAGCTCTAACTGTTACTACAAACCCTAGTGCTCAAGTTCAAACCCAGATAGATCTTCCTTCAAACTCAAATAATCACATGAATCCTTTGTTTTATAGTCTGCCATCTAATCATATCGAGCCTAATCTTCCTTATTCCAGCACTTACGCAAACACAGTGTCTGGATTTAATCTTCAACCTCAGATTAATGCTCTTGGATTAGGGTTTCAATCTGGACTTTTTGTTAATAATATTCATAGCAATGACTACAAGAATGGGTTCAATTTCTCCAAGCAAATCCAAGATGTTATTACACCATCAAGTTCAAATCTTCCTAGCAACCCTATCTTTGGTTCTCCAACATTTGCTTCTACCTTTCAGCAGCCAAAATTCATCAATTCGAGTGGTTTGAAGAATCATTCGCAAGGCTTTGCAGACAATCTTCAAGGGTTGATATCCTATGAAGATCTGAAAATGCCTAGAAATGGTGGAAACAGCATAATGGTCAAGGAATTGAAAACGGAAGGTACTCAAAACAGGTTAGATAATTGGAATATTTCTAGTCAGAATCAGGTAGAACAGATGAATTCCTCCGATCCTTCTCTTCTATGGAACACAACTGGTGTTGGTGCTTGGCTTGACCCTTCATACATGGGTTCTTCCGTTTCTTCCCTTATGTAGCATAGCTGATGCACCCAAAGTACGGAAATAATCAACCACGCACCAAAAACTCGTTGATTCTGAGAATAGTAAAAAAATCGAAAATCAAAAGTTTTACCTGATCCGTGCCTCCATCTTCATCCTAAACTTCTTTTTTTTTTTTTTTCCCTTGATTGATCTCCCTCTTTTCATTGACGTTTGGGTCTTTTTAGGTGAATACGTTTTTATTTCCTTCTGTCTAAAAATAGAATACCCAAAAAAGAAAAAAACAGATTTCAGTTTGCAGGAATTGATGAGAAGAGTTTGGATCGAGCGATCATGTCAGCTGCAAGAAACTTCAGCCTGTTCATTTTAACTGTCAAGGTTGAGAGTAATCCCATTTGCGCTGAGAGGAACCTCGGATCCAGATCTTCTTTTCATTCTCAAAGGTTTCATCATTGTTATTGGAAGGTTAGCCTGATGCAAGTTCCAGTTCCAGTACGTACTTGGTCGATTTTATATCTATATGTATGTATATATTTATGCATGACATTTCTTGATGTATTTGAGAATATCGTTAGGTTTTGGGCTGGGGGTTTTACTTGGAAGATTAATCTCTTAAGAGGAATCAAATATTTTATTTTGTATTTAGTCAAGGGGAGAAGGGTTTGGGTATATTGGTATAGAAGTGATGGAGATCAATTAATGTTAATTCATATTTCATTCTGGGTTACTGGGTCCAAAGTTTATCTGGTTATTCATGCCTATATCTTGTTAACTTCAGTTTGTTCGTACTTGAGAAAGTTTGGCAAAGACATAATAATGATAATATGTAGTTCTTTTAGCTTGTACATTGTGGTGATGGTATGTTATTAATGTTAGAATTTGGGGTTATATCTTAAAAGATCAACCTTATTTAGAGGAGTAACCAAATCCTTTATAAGTTGATTTATGTTTACATCTTTATTCGATGTGAGATTCTATCTTTTAACATGTCCCCGCAAGATGGTGGCTCGTTGGAGCAGACTAATATTGAAATTCGTATGCTCACTTTTAGAGTCTTAACAAGATAGAATCTTACATCAAATAAAAATGTAAACATAAACCAATTTATAAAAAATTTGGTTACACCTCTTAATAAGATTGACCTTTTAAAATGTAACCTCAAATTCTAACAATTAACATATTTGGTATCGCGGTCTACGAAGTTCCAGAATGTTAAAAGAGCAAAGTAATATGTAGTTTATTGTTCAATACTATGTACATGTCTTGTATATGCTAGAGCATCATGAGCAAAAAATATATCTATTTTTCCTCTGGTTGAAATTTTTTTTTTTTAGGTTATACGTAGATCGAACTTCATTTTTAAACATACATTGCACTTGATCTACGACTTTTATCTACTTTTTAATCACACATTTTATCGGTACCACCAACTTTAATCTCAAAAAACTTTGTCCAGTAGGGTCATATTATCGTTTATTTTGCTATCAAAATGAAGATCTTTCATGTTATACTTGTACCGATTCTTGCCATCAATCGTTCCATCTCCCATGTAAATCTCCAGATTTTAGGAAAGGAATAGATTTATCCTTTTATTTTTATTTTATAGTCCCTTTCACATTTTTTTAATAATTCCCCTCCCCCCCCTCAACACCATTTTTGTCAATTCTTCTTGAGTAAACCTCTTCTCTTCAAACTTGTTACTAAATCTTCTCTCTTTTGCACCAATTTCGAATCATAATTCTCACCAAAATAGGCATAGCCGATTAGAGTTTCGAGTGAATTTAGATACTCTAATCATACTTGTCAACTTTACTTATCTAAACTCTAAAGACCATTTTAATATATAAAAGGGTACGTACTATAATAATTTTGTAAGACTGAATAAACGTATTCAAATGAAAACTTTCTGTGAGAAATTTTATTTTTCACGGAAAAAGTAGACTAATGCAAAACAATTCCCAATATTCAATCGAATAGTATGAAAATTAATTTCCCATTTCTTCTGCTTTATTTATGGTTTCATGCGTTTCTGTAGGTTCAATTTCCTTTCTAATTCTTTCATTCTCAGCTACAAAGTTCACGAGTCAATGGGGCTACCCCGTTGCCTCTAAGTTTGCACAACATAACCTTTGAAGCACAGTTTAAATAAATGATTTTATTCACATATAAATTTTCAAATGAGAATGTTTGATATGCAGTCGACGTGTCTAAATTTCTAAGTTTAAGTCTTGCCTCCATCGTTAGTTTTACTCCTGATTTTAGTTTACTTAAATTTTTATAAGGTGTAAAGGGAGATGGACCGAAGCAACTATTTTTAAACTAATGGACTTTGACTTGTACGATACCTAACGATCATTTGATGAATGAAAATAAGATACGACGTCCAAACACAAGATATATATGCACGTCGAAAATTTTCCATCCCCGTGATGTCACCCAGTAGGAAGCTTCTGATTACTGGTATGTAAACGTTAATTTATTCATGAAGAACATGATGGTAAAAAAAATTGTTCATTAAGAAAGTTGGCAGAAAATTACGAGTTAGATGCATGGCAACTTTGTCAATGTATTAAATTATTATATGTAAGACGAACAGAATGAGACAGGTTACCTAATTTCACGAGTAACTTAGGTTAATTTCCAGATATAAGCAGTTACTTTGTCACGTATCAAAACTTAAATTATGGTTTTATTGCTAGTCCAAATCAGCATATAACATATGCTGCACTAAGTGGAGAAAAATTAAATGTATTTCTTATATAAATATATTTAATTTAACATTTCAAATATATTAATGCTAATTAAATTTCTTTAGCATAACCTTCTGACAAAACATAATGAGTGAAGTCGTGAAGATTACATCTACAGGTGATTCTAGTTCTCGCTACAAACACCAAAAATAGCTTTGGTCGATCACAGTCTATTGATATGATCCAGACCATATTGCTACAATCAGACTGCGTGATACACATTTTGACGCTTTTATTTTTAATCAAAGAGATGGAATCTAATCATAGTCGGGACTCATTCCTCAAAACTTTTAAAAAGTTAAAAACTGCGCCCGAAATTTGAAAAATAGTTTTGAAATTGTTTAGATAATTTTTTAAATGTGTTTTGTCTAATTAAAAGAAAGAAAAAGGCAAAAATAAAAAACAGAAGTCCAATCACGTGCAAAGTTTCTTCTTCTTTTTCATTTTTGTCTGAAGTGATCAGTACAGAGTTTTTCATCTCATCTGGTCAATGAGCATTAGAGTAAAAAATAATTCAGAAAGATATTAGAATGATTCACGAGCATGTACACCCAATTAGGCATAGCACGTAACCACAAAGAGCAAAGTAGTCGGGGTAGAAAGTAATCAAGTGCAGTGAAATGGTTTTCTGTGATTGGCCAATGAAATACAATCAATTACCATAATAATTCAAGCAGTAGGCGCACCCATTGACCAAATGATGGTTTAAAATTGAAGACCAATGGCTGTCTGTCTGTCTGACAGAGACATGGGACCCAATTTAGTGCATGCGATGTAATGATCGTGAAGTGTCCAAATATGTACATATGAGTTGTGGCTCGCCAAGAATATTAATCCATTTATTAATAGTCGAACAAATAAAAGCAGAAAATAATTCTGTCTTTTTGAGTCTAAAGAAACAAATTATGATAAGTCGATCCAAAACAAGTTACTACAAGTGCACGTTACTTCAAAGATCCATGCCATTGATTGATGGAAACAAATAATTTATTCAAAATTTTCACGGTGAAACCATAATCATATACCGGAAAACCCAATCACAAAAAGAGGATATAATAAAAATCAGAGAAATAAGAAATTTGTAGAGCAAAGAAAAATTCTAGAAATGATCAATGATCAGGCCATGGATTTGGCTTGATGGACGATCCACCTTCGTTGCTGCCGGTATTGGTGTTATTCCAGAAATTCGTGCTTGAGGCTGAAGAGTTGGCGCTGTTGTTGACGAAAAATTGAGTCCAAGATTCCAATGTCCTTTGCACCGGGACTAGACCATTATGCAGTTGGAATTGTGACGATTGAGAGTTCAAAGATGGAAAATTTAGCCCTGGAAACTGTGCCATTTTTACACCACCGGCGGTTCCGCCACCAAGTTGGCCGCCAGGCACGTCCCCCATATTTGGTTGCATTGATAAAAATGAACCACCAGAATAGAAAGAACTCATTGGTGAAATCACCTCCGGCAAACTCCTCGAGGATTGATCCACAGGTAATAACCCAGAATTACCCGAAATCATAGCAGCCATAGTAGTTAAATTCTGTGAGACATGCAGTTGTGATGGAAGTGGCGGTGTTAGAGGTTGAGTTCTTGAATTCTCACTATTATTTGAAGAAGTCGAGGTTTTGGGTCGCTTACTCTTCCTCCAGCAGCCACCGCCAACTGGAACATTTCTCAAGGTCCCGCCTTGCGTCCAGTACCTTCTGCAACTCTTGCAATAGTACCGTGGTTGAGAGAGGCTGTAGTTGTTATAATAGCAAAATTTGGTGTTGACAGAATCACACCGAGGGCACTTTTGTGGCTGTGGTGGCGGCGGCGGTTGATGAAGATTTTGGTGCATTTGACCCTGATCAGGCGGCTGCAAACGGCGGTGATCTTGCTGCCGATTCATATCGCCCTCTCCTCCTCTCCCTCGCTCCATATGTATACAGTATATAACTTACAATATTTAAGTTTCTGTAATCTTCACGAGTTCATTTGTTCTTCACTACCTAGAAAAGAAAAACAAAGGAATCATATAATCAAAATCAGAGAATTTATTGAAAATTCAATCCTAAATCATTCTTGCAATCTCTCTTCAAAACAACGAAACCTGAAATAATCCATCCTTACCAGTAATCAGTAGAGGAGGGTACATGGAGAGATGATTCTAGTAATAGAAGTTAAATATATTTTAGGAGGAAGGTGATTTCTGGCATGCTAAGGCGGCGGCAGAGCGCGGTGGTTCGGCATAGACGGAGTGGTAGTTGTATCAGATTTGTCTTTTGTCTGTGTCTATAGTAATCTGCTGGTACTTGCCACTGTCTTCATCTATCTGTTTATTATTATTTCAATATACTTTTTGCAATCTTGCTACGTGTACATTTTAATTTACACCTTGACTTGTCGAATTTACACCACAATCTTACATTATTTTTCACATCTCACACATTTAATCCAACGATTATAACACTTCCACATGTTGTTAACCAAGGTGTAAATAAAGTTGTGCAAATAGCTTAATTCTTCTTTCTGACATCAGCTGGTGAACTCAAAATAAGGATTAAACAATGCCTTTGTTTGGATTTCATTTTGTTCTGCTAAATAGTTCAATTCATACTTTTAAAACAAAATGAAACGCAATCAAAGGCATTAGTAAATGTTGTTGAAAATTCAATTTATACAATTAAAATAAGAAACTTAAAAAAATGATTGTAGAAGTGAGGCATCTTAAAAATTATGACAGATTTAGTTCATGCACTGGATTCTATCATATTTTTAAGATATATAACTTTTCTTTCAATTATATTAACTTTAACGGGCAAATTGGAGCTTCACTTGACCAGAATGGTTTCCAACTTCTCAAAGATTTGAAAACTAAAAACTTGAAACTAATTTCAAATTACAAGGTCATAATACTTGCAGAGAAAGAAGAATCTCAACGTGTCTATTCAATATGGTTATATCTATTTCGAATTGATGTACCTTTTAGCACAAGTCAATCCAAATTTGGTCTGAGTGATGGCAGGACGATAGTTTGAGTGAGTTGAAGGTCTAGAATTTGTGAGCTAGTGGTAGGAGTGTGCATTTTGATTGGAACCAAATAGATATCGAACCGGATCCGGAGGTTCCGATTCGGGTTTAAAAAAATAATTTAGGAACCGAATAGAGAAATGAATATGATTGAGTTCAGGTCAGGTCAATTCTTGATTCTTCAATTGAAATCGTGGGTTCACTCTAAAATCGAATTTGTCATTTTTAAAAATATTTATTTTTTAAAATTTATTCAACCTAAACCAGTGACCTCGACCCAACAAGTACAAGTACAAGTTTGTTTGGCCCAAGCAGTAGGTATCTAATCAATCATATTCATTCATTTGAATAATTGAATAATATCGCTTTCATTCATAGTTATTTTCTGACCTCACTTTACAAGTTGTCCGTCTCACAAACCTTTCTCGTGGTACCGCACATAGAGCCACAATCGAAATTGGATGTCATTATGTTAGGTATTGAATATTATTTGGTGACATATATGCAACGGATTGAGAAATTGTTGAAATATGTATTTAGTAATGTATTTTATTTCTTCTATTTTCTACTAAATATTAGAAAAATAATTTGTACTATCAATTCATAGTTTTTTTTTTTACAAAATATAACGGGTAGAGTTGAACTCGAATCAGAATTGATAATTTCGATTCAGATTTGGTCCCAAAAATCATGTGGACCTAAATGGTTCATTTATGAAGTATTCGAAATATAATGAATGATTTCAGGTATTGAAAATTCGGACTGATCCACAATGATGCCCAAACCCAAATGGTGGCATAACCTATATTTTATAAAAAAAATTTATCCCACCCTAATTGTGTCACTTAATGTTGATCCTTATCCAATTACCTAGGTTCATGTTCCATATCAAATTCAAAGATGCAATTTCATCACAACTCTACCACCTTATGCAAAAAGGATAAGGATATCATACTTTTCAATCCTTTTAGGCTTCAACCACTAACCTTTATAAATACAGAGATAATGTTCATTAATGAGGTACGCTTTTACATAATTTTTAGTTCACATCTCTACGTATAAATTCTCTCCCTAACTTTAGTATTGGAGAAGTGACGAGAACACATTTCGACACCTTTGTCTTAGGAACATGATATTCAATTCCACCTATTTGCAGTCATCAAGGGGATTCTGTTTCGTGCTCATTCCTTATCCTCAAGTTCGAGATTACTAAAGTGCAAATTTTGGTAGCATCACCTATTTTCCTCAAACGTGAGGATCTCTAGTGTCATTTTTAAAGTTTTGAGTATAGATCTGAAACATTTTTAAAATGCAAGGGACCAAAACATGCTATTTTCCGTTTCATTTTCTCCAAACATTTGCTTTCAGACATCTCCCCAATACGCAAAATTCTACTATTCGAAAGATTAACATCGCGTACAGTATTAGCATTATTGCATATTTCTAGAATTCTCTAAACTAACTTGGGAAACAAGAAAAGTTTAGGGATTAAAAAATTATCTAGAATTCACTAGAGATGTTTGGGAAGCAAGAAAAATCAAAATATAAAATAATGAAAATATTAGAAAATTCTAGAATTCCTTAAGGACCAAGTAGGATAAAATAATGAAAAAATAAGAATTTTCTAAAGGCAATCTACCAACTTTTGTATGTTATAAATATGAGTTGCTACTTCAATTGGTGTGTAGAAGTTTAAATGCATCGCCATTATAAAAGTCTCATGCCATTGTAAAATTTTATTTTTCAATAAATTAAAATTTTCTCTTTCAATTATCTTGTCCAATTTAAAATTACTCCATACTATTTTTATCATACAAAATATATTTCACATAAACCACCAAATCTTTCCAATCTAATTTACTTATTTCTCCTACCAACTATAAAATATTATCTGTAGTATCAGAATTTCGTTCGATTGAGATTGGGCGTAAGCATATACTATGACTGACACTTTCTGTTCATCCATTCCTATCCCATCATTTAATGGAGACAACTAGATTTCTGGTCCATTAAATTGAAGACCTACTTTTGTGCGCAAAATTTATGGGATGTCGTCAATGACGAGTATACTAACTCAGATGATATTTTCATTCTAACTAATGTACAAAAGATGGAACTTAATGAGAATCAACAAAAAGATTCTCTAGCATTACTTATTCTACAAATGAGCTTGATAGATNTGTTTGAAAATTTTTAATTACTTGTACAGAAAAATATGATCCAATTATTGTAGCTATTGAGAAGTCTAAAGATAAAGATAAATTAACAGCTGCAAAATTAATGGGTCCATTGAAAGCTCATAAAAAAAGATTAGAAAGACGTTATGAAATTAACACAGAAAACGATTTTCAATCTAAAGTTAATATGCGGTTTCAGAAATCTAAAGAATGTGGGAGAAAATTTAAAGAAAATTCTAAAAATAAACAAATTCAAGGAAAAGAAATCTATAATAACGGTAAGTATCCTCCATGTGGTTTTGTAAAAGAAAAAATCATTTGGAAAATGATTGTTGGTTTAAAGGAAAATCATAGTGCCGTGGCTGTAAAAACATTTGGACATGAAATTTTTTTTTTAATTTTTTGTCGTTTTAAACAAAATCGTCAAACTAATTTCTCTTAAAAAAATGATATAGAAGGAAATCTATTTTATACCTCCAACAAGGATGTATTTGAAGAGAAATTAAATGCATGGTATCTAGACGGTGATTGCAGTAATCACATGACGAAAGATGAAAGTCTTTTCTGCAGTCTTAATAAAATAAACGCAAAAATAAAAATTGGTAATGAAAATTTCATAGAGGCAACATGTAAAGACACTATTACCGTTGATACAAAAAAGGGCAAAATATACATCAATGAAGTTTTCATGGTCCCTACAATAGATCAAAATCTACTAAGTGAGATTACATGGAGCCATCAGGTTAAGACGATATTGCCTTTGATACAAAAAAGGGTAAGAGATACATCAATGTAGTTCTCTTAGTCCCTACAATATATCAAAATCTACTAAGTGTAGGTCAAATGATATACTTCACATTTTGAAAGAGATTCTTACACTATCTATGACAAGAAAGATAAATCCCTTATAATTGCAAAAGTCAAAAAGCAGGAGATCATATGCTTCCTAATCCAATAGAGATACGCAAACAATGCGGTAATGACGATGCAAATGGTTGAGTTATGGCTGTGGTACATTAGATTTGGACACTTCCATTTTGACGGTTGAAGATTCTTCAGCAAAAGAGCACGATGAGAGATTTATCAGTTATAAAGGAGATTAAAGAAGTTTGTGAAGGATGTTTGCTAGGGAAACAACAACATCAACATCAACCATTTGAGTTCGAAAAATCATGGAGAGCTAAAGAGCCGTTGGAGCTTATACATACAGATGTAGGCGATTCGATGAGTACTCCATCACATGAGCAAAATACGTACTTCATTATCTTTATAGATGATTACATTAGAATGACATGGGTGTACTTTTTGAGCGAGAAATCCTAAGTTTTTTGAAATTTTCAAAAAGTTTAAAAGTCATATTGAAAAGCAAAGTAGTCACAATACCAAGACAATCAGAAGCGACATAGGTAAAGAATACATATCAAATGAATTTAACAAGTTCTGTGAAGGTGAAGGAATGGAGTATCAACTCACCATTGGATACGCATTTGAACAAAATGGCGTGTCGAAAGAAGAATAGAACAGTAATGGAGACAGCAAGAGCTATGTAAATGGAGAAAGGCCTTCTAAAAACTTCCTGGGTAGAAGCAGTAATCACTGCAGTCTACTTATTAAATCGATGTCGACCAAAACGGTGCAAGACAAAAAGATTATCAGAAATATATCAAAATTACAACTTGATGATCGTTGAACCTGAAAGCCATAAAACAGCTTCAAAACAACCAGAATGGAG